ATAATGAATTTTAATAATTTTTTCGGATTTTTTGAAGCTTTAATCTGACCGATTCAGTCGATTCTCAATCCAGATCGCCGATTCGCCGATCCGGGTTGATATTTAAGATGCCCGATCCGAATCACCGATCCGCTTTTTAAACCATAGGTCACAACCACCCCTTGCCGTGAGATGCAAAATTATGCAGCTAGGTGTGCCATTTTTCTGCACAAAGTTTGAGAAAAAATTATTGAATTTTAGGCGCAGTCAATGGCACACACTAGCTTCTCTATTTGCAAATATCTTAGGGGTGGTTGTAGCTTTCTTGTATTTGGGTGAGTGGTGTTATTTGTATTGTCTTTTTTCACTTAGGCTTATAATTGGATCTATTCTTGGGCTTTGTCTTTGACATTGACTTGTCAACTAGTGATTAGCATTAAAGCTAATCAACCTATGAGGTAATCACTTTTGAAATCATGGAAACTCTTTTTCTATTTTTCTTCAAATTGCTTGCAGTTGGGCAACCTTTTTTTTTTTGCTACTCAAAACTTACAAATCACCATTTTTCTTGTCCTTTCTACAGTGTGATGGATGGTCAATTATTGGTGAGGCTTTCTTCAATGGTTTAAAGGCTGGAACCAGATATGCTAAGGTTATTAATATATATATACTGCTTCAAAAGTTGTTATTTTGTGGCACACTATGTTGCTTTATTTAAAATCAGTGATGCTAAGAAGAATTCTTTGTTTTTTTGTGCGCCTGTGCTCTGAATTATACTTGCATTGGCATGAGGTAAAGGAAATGAACGGTTGATTGGGGGCCTGGTTGCATTTGGGGGGATCTGGTCCATCCATTCTAATGATATTATCTGGAACTTAACCTACCTGCATTAGCATCCAAATGATTTGGAGAGGCTGTGCAGTGTGTACCCTCATAGAGCATGGTTTTTTTTTTCTTTCATTGGTCAAATATCAACCGAGGTTACAAATATAAAACGGCCAGTGTAGGTTGAGTGCATGGAAATGCCATGTGCGTGAGCGCATCAAGATTTGTCTATTTTTGACAGATTTGGTGGTCCCCTGTGGCTAATTGTACATTTGGTTCTTCAACTGTAATCACTATATTTTAGCTGGATTTATTTGACCCCAAAATTCATTGATCATCCTTATTCATCTTATAGGTGTCAACTTAAGAAAATGTTTTGGAGTTAAAAAAATGAGCATGTATGCTATGCTCCCGAGGGAGCATAGTTTGCTTCTACTCCCTCAGTCATAAGATTTCTTAGGACGATTTTTTTAATCTGAAATTTTGGAATTACTTGATATTAGATGATTATTCTAAACAAGAAATAAATAAAAAAAAGATTTTTGACATTTTTAACGCTTAGATCTCACCATCTAAAATTGGATGGTCTTTATTCGATCTCGAGACAGCACTATACCCAGACGGTACGATTAGGAATATTATTTTATTGTGGTTAATCTATGGGCCGAAGAGGTTATATCCAAAAAAAAATAAAGTCATAAAATTAATTCAAGGTGATGTTTTACCCGACGGACTAAATGTATATTCTATTCCTATGGTGTAGAATATCTTTTGGCAAAAAAACAGTGGCCCTCCGAGATCGACTTTGGACCTTTGAATCGTCCTCCATGATCAGATCCAGGGTTCTACGAATTCAAAATTAGTTTTCTATTTTTTGATTGATGATGAAGGAAACTAAGATGATTTGGAAAATTTAGATCACGAAAAATTGCTAACCGGGTGTTTTGACCTAGGGTGAGGTTTGTATAAGGTGTGAACCTTATACTATTGAAGTAAGGTATATCTCAAAACTATGCTGAAAATGCAGTTTTGGTGCCGCAAAGCCTTGATATAAAAATTTATTATTGCCCCCAATTATAAAATTAGAGTCTAGAAATGGTGATGACCAAGCATATCAATAAACACTTGAAAATCTTGAAAATGGACGGTCTTGAAAATGGACGGTCTAGATAATGTGTTAGAAGAAGAACTAGTTTTAGGACTAGAAATCCCCCTTTCTTTTTGTCTATGCATCTTGAGGCCGAGACGATCGATTTTAGAGTTTTCTTGTATAGGAACAATCTTCTCTATTGGGTTTTTTAGGTCACAATAATCGGACAATATAAAGTCACTATATATAAACTTTTTACTTTGCCCTATATAGGATTTCACGTTTATAGATCAGAATTTTTTTAAGGGATTGCATACAATGAAACTATTTACTTTTGATACGAATAGGTCACAATTACCTATAATCATTTGATGCGTAGTTTGATAGCTTGGGTGCATCACAAAGTTCGAGAAATTTCCTTTTTAACATTGAGCTTGGTCAATAGAATAAATGTAGCCACCCAATTTCACATTTAATAGTCGAGATTAATTGTGACCTCTAAAAGTATATGATCTCATTGTATACTTTTCCTTTTTTGTTAATGGGATTATCTTAAAAAAGATTATTTATCTTTTATACAAGAAGGTCACAATCATTTTTGTCTCTTGGATTTCAAAATGGCTCGTTGTAAGAGTATCATTGATTAGATACAAAATTCCAAAAAAACTTTTTCGGACTTCATGACTCACCCCAAGCCATCGAATTTGATATCTAATGATTGTGAATAGTTCTAACCTTATTTTGTACAAAGGTAAATGGTCTCTTTGTAGACATTCCCTTTTTTAATTCATTATCTTGAGTAAAACCAATGTTTTGGCCACCAAATTTTGAGGATGTAATCTTCTCAAAGGAAAAATAAATTTTAAACAGGCCTCATATGTGCTTGAGAAAATAACGTCATGAAATTGAACAAAGAAATTGAGCAAGACTGTTTAATTTTATGGATGATCAAATCTGTGATTTATAGTACAAAATCTAATAAATTTTGTTCTTTTTAAAAAATCACCGGGTGATTTTGAAGTGGATCCGAGAATTATTAGATAAAAAAACTCGTCTAAAGTATCTCTTTCATTTGTGGGAGTAGGCCTACTTTGTGCTTCCCCGTGGAGAATGATAAATACATTGGAGCTGGTCGACAACTCGATGTTTCGTGGACCATGCCGAGAGAGATTGCAGAGAAAATTATGCAACTTAGTGACAATTGTGTCAGATTAATTAAAATCATCCGCATTTTATCACAAGAAATTATATTATTATGACAATATCTTGATAAAATGAAATTATCTTTCTTTTTTTTTATGTGACAAGGGCACATAATTTTATTGATAATAATGAATTACATCAATGTAAAAAAGAAGAAACAAACAACTGTAATGAGTGAACCTCGGATGTTACCAATACATCTGTCGTCTCATTTGCTTCCCTATAGACGTGGCTAAACACTACCGTACGAAAAATGTCAAATATCAACAACCTCCATCCATATACTCCTCAAATTCCATGGAGATTTGCCACCGTTATGGGCCGTTTGGAACTTTGTATACAAGAATCCTGGGTTTATCTTAATACCTGGTTTTGTTGATTCTAGTATATATAAAAGCTGGTTTTGAGCACAATGCTGTTTGGTTGGCTGTTATATATAAAGGGATTGTATACAATGAGACAATTTACCTTTGATATAAGGTGGTCACAATTATTTACAACCATTTGATGTGAAATTTGATAGCTTGGATGTGTCACAAAGTTTGAAATTTTTTTTTTTTGAAGTTTGAGCTTGGTCAATGGAATAATTGCAGCCACCCATTTTCACATCCAATGGTCAAGATTAATGTCTCACTTTGTAACAAAGGTAAATGGTCTCATTCTATACTTTCTCATATATTAAAGCTTGTAATTTAACTTGTTTGGCACCATGAAGATGAAAACTAGTTTTTGGTTGTTTTTTGTTAATGCAATTTAGCCGTTGATTCTTAAAATTGATGATTCCGTACTAATACATGGCCAATTAAAAATATTTTTTGGAAATACGTTATCCATCATGTAATAAATAAATTAGACGGTTCGGATCATATTTCTTAGGAATAGATCCAAGATAGAAGAAGGCTCTAGCACAAGGACACCCACATATTCATTCTCAATACACATGCTTATTACCCATTACAGATTTCTCAATGGGAAAATATTTCTTAATAAACATACATACCATTTAAGACAAACCAACCATAAATTCAAGCAAAGCATAGACATACTTTGCACCAACATATTGAACATTAATCCAGAAACATGGCATCAATCAACAAGGTGGTGATGTTTGTGTAGCTGGTTGTTAGACAAAAGATCTTTACAAGTAAGCATCTCAAAAGTAAGGAGATCAACTAGGTCCGAGATGTACGATGTCTAGTGTCTACAAGTTCTGTTGGGGTAGTTGATTGCTTGAAGGCTCAGCTCAACCCTTCTTTGATCGGTTGAAGATGCTTTGAGCCTATTTTATATAGTATGTTGATTGTTTACGTAAGACTCACTAAATGTGACTCAATGGAAGTAAGAATGCTCCTTACGCTACGGATATCTCTCTATTCACATCCATAGACAAGCCAATGGAAATGCAAAGTCTCTGAATTGGCTAGGGTGATTGATGGTAGATTTTAATTCCAATTAAGTGAGAGCAATGTTGATATCCAAAAGACAGAATTGAAATACAACCTCATCGAAAATGACCATGAGCACCAAAACCAAAGCGGAAGAATACCAATACAAAAGTTAAAATCCAAGAAATTTGTTCAAGTATCGAAACAAAAAAGGGTGGTCTACTTCAAGCCACCTCAAGCTATGCTTAAGTATTGATCTAAAGCTTACATGAATGAGATTGAATTGATTTGCAGTTAGGTAGAGTCGAGCAGCCAGATGATTCGAGGGGAAACTTCTATCCATGGTTTGGGAGCCCATACAGGGTCTGACTAATCAATAGTTCAAAGCATATGAATGAGTGTTGGAAGTGCTTTCTCCTATGAGTGGCCCTCTTTTTCTTATTTGTCCACCCGGATAGAGAAAGAGCTGCCCAACGGTTCTAACCAAGAAAAAACAAGAGAGAGACCTTCAATTGAATGGAGTGACTGCTCTTTGTGTTGGGGAAAGAGACTTGTTCTCGTCCCCGTAGGAGCGATGAGTGCATGAACCTTCATGAGTCACGGGCAAGTGAGTAAGAAGAAATGGATCAAGTTGCTCCCAGGCCTTCTGTCATTTCCTAAGACCGTGCTCCATTCTCCCCCGATTGGTCAATTCCTGACCCATTCATTCCTAGGTCTTCGATACGTCCTCCTGATCGATCAAATAGGGCTAGTTGCATCGCCAGGAGGGCGAAGCGAGGGCCCCCACCATTTGACTGAATGTCGGGTGAGGAGCCCACCCCACAACTGGATTCCCAAAATTCCTTTATGGCAGGAAGAATCTATTCCTTCCTTCCAAGGGTTTGACTTATGCCAACCGAGCAATCTAAGCGTGCTACTAGGCAAAGCTGTTGAGTCCTGTACCATCACAGGCCGAAAGAAAGCCACCCGAGTAGCTAGCATGAATCTCGGGATGATCAGCATACCTTGCAAGGCTAAAGACTCATGGCTAGAAGGGCCAATCCATCGATCAGTTCAGTACTCATCTATTATCTCGGAGAGTTTGGCATTGAATCAGGTATGGCATCTGGTCCAGGCAGGAAGATATATGGAACATGCTAGTAAGGGAAGGGAATAGAATCCTTTCGTGAAAAGGGATACGAGATGTGCGAGAATCTGTTCAGTTAGCTGTCCCAAAACAATTGAATCAGGCACTAGGAAATCAAATCCACTTTCTTGGGTGCATACATTCTCCGCAGGATCGACTGGTGGCGAGGAAGGAATGGATACGAATAAACAAATGTTGGGTAGGAGAAAACAATGATGGGAAGGTCTAATAAGATGCCCCAGGAAAAAACGACGGCCGAGCGTGTAGAGCAAGAACTTATTGTGGGCAAGAGTTTCAAATCCATGAAGTTCGTACAAAGCATCTCGGAGAAAGATGAGCAATTGGAGCGGAAAAAGAAAGATTTTGTCCATTTCCACCGATCCACAATAATACCTCTATTACCGTGACAAATGCTATGGGGAATAAAAAAACAGGGGCCTTTGCTGGTTGTTTGGAGGAAATAAAAGGGGGTCTTGTCTTTCTTGGTACGCTGCTGCAGCAACTGAAGAACATGTTGAGCGATCCACCAGAAATCTGGCGATGAAGTCAGTCGTAATGAAAGTAAAAAGAAAAACTTATTTATGGGAAAAGAAAGTAGTGATCTTGAGTTTGAGAGAACGTTATACCTTTGTTGAGTGTAAGCGAAGTGGAGGAGTAGGAGATAAATATTTCATTATGTACATCCACGATGTGACCCAACTTCCACATGATGGATGTTAACTCCCCAGGAAATGTCGTGTTGAAATAGTTCCATAAAGTTCTCCATTTTCACTTGACCAGAAAAAATCTTACTCTTCCCAACAGCAAAGAGTGGAGCCAGTGATAGAGTCGTGCGTCTAGGCAAAAAGCTCCTCTCTTGGAGAACGAGTGGAGTTTACGAGCCCAGTAGGAAAGGAAGCGAAACGGGTAGCAAGCAACGAGCAAAGTCAATGTAGCCAAGTGAGGTCAAAGCCCTCTAAAACGAGGGCTTTTCCTTAAAAAACCCCTATTAAACTAAACGAGTGCTTTGATGTTGTAAAAAGCCCCCTTCAACAATTTCTTTGACCTTGCTACCACTTGCTTTGTTCTCCACTGGCAAAGCAAGAGCAAAAAGCCAGCAAGCGTAGGCTTATGAGCTGTAGTTTGTTGGCTTTGACGTTGCGCTAACGACAAAACTCGATGGGCCTTTGCTCGTTGCCTACACTGCCTTTACGACCCCCCTTTCAATAAAAAATAAGGAGCTATTCTTATTGAATCAATATTTCATTACATTAAGGGTCGAGGCAGAGGCTCCGCTTCCTACTGTTGGATCGGGTGCAGGCACTTTCCATCCACTTCAAGGTAAAGGCTTGCGATTAGTTTCTCATGGAATTTAGCCTTGAACGCTTGAATTTTATCATTCCAGCCTTGGACTTACTCAGCCTTGGCCAACTATTGAAAGAATGGAGAAGCTATGAGGTCCTCAACCTTTGAGGAAGATCTTAGGAATGAAGGGGCTTGCGGATAGGGTGGAGGGAGGGGAACTAGGGAGTGGGGAATGCGTGGATTCGGCTATCGGCCTCCTCATAATTGACTTTTGTTATATCTACTGACATAACCGATCTACTCCATGCGATCCCCCGGATATGGCCAGCAATCGGACAAAGGACAGAGTAGAAAGAGCACGAGAGCCTCCTTTGATAAGAGAGCACACATGCATGTCCGGCTTCTTCCACTACAACTTAGTAGCATTAGCTACGCTCAGCGGGGTAGTTTGGTGGAATTAGATGAATGAGAAGCTGATGAAAAAAGCTCGAGCAATGCAATGACCGATGGACCGACAGATTTGCCAAGCTGCTGGGAATACATGGAAGGGACAAAAAGAAAGCAGGTTTTTTTACCTATCTTAAGAACTTCTTTCGCTCAGGGTAGCAACAACCAAGGTGTCCCGGGACTGGGTGTCATCTTGCCGACCATTTGTTTGGTCCGAGGATGAGGGAACAGATGGGAGTGGCTACTTCCACTTTTGAATCTGCAGTTACCATTCGAGGCTAAGGCATGCATTGAACGAGACCAGAGAAAAGCATCTCTCCATGTTGTATCTCGAAGTTCTCTATGCGGCATAATGCTTAGAAGGCCCAACACACTCCTCAACGCCTTCCATCTAGCATGGATCCAACCATCCCCCAATCCTCGGCCCCCCCTAAAATTCAAAAGTGATTCATAGAAAAATGAAACCATCGTTACGTTATATAGACTATAACACATTTCCTTCTATAGTCGGTCTTCCCTTTTCAATACCTAAAACTCCCCTGATCACAGAAGAGGGAATTCGGCCTAGGCCCTTCTACACCCAGCTGGTCATAAGTCTATTACCTAACTAAGGGCCACCCACACTTCTCCTATCCAATGTAGCCCTGCCGCCTTATTTGATAGTAATTGTGTGGCTCACTCTATGAAGATAGAGAGGGCCGAGACCATGTATTTGATTGGAAAAGGCTGAGCATCGCTCTTTCTACTTCTAAGTAAGTAGTGTGGTTCTTGCCCCTTCTCATGTACTTGGCTTTGAACTCAACAATTGCAGTTCAACCGTTAGCTGAGCACCAAACAGCTCACTTATTGATAAGCATTTTCAAGGCTTCGCTTGCTTACTCTATTCACCAGATCCACAGGGCGGAGCATGAGTGGCACCTTGGTGACCACATGTTGGCTATTGCTATAGCCCAGCGGCTCTCGTTACCCTCGCGCTCCTTCACGGAAGGAGGCTATCACTACACCGGGAAAGGTGTAAGGAGGTTCAGTCAAGTATAGTATAGTACGGCTTATGGTTCTAGTAGCACAAAATAAAGAAAGGCTAGTCCTCCTAAGAAAGAAGACCTAGTCTTAATTTTATTATATAGGGTAGTAGTCTTGATTTGTGTTGTGCAAAGGTCTCAACTAAAACTCAACTCAGGCGAACTACTTACTTATTAAGTGAAGGCGAGGTGTTGGCCGTGCTAAAAACAATGGTTAATAGACAATAAGAACAAAAACTCCTCTGGAAGTTGGAGAAAATTGACTGATGACGACCTTTGAAACCCTTCCTTCTCAATTGCATCACTAAATTTATGGAACAAGGAGCTTGCTTAAGGCCATAGAAGGCATTCTTAAGCTTGCATTTATGAGAGTCTTTCTTTGACACATACCCAGGCGGCAGGGACATATAGACTTCCTCTTTAAGGTTGCTATAGAGGAAATCATTCTTTACATCTAGCTAGAAGAGAGGCTATTGTTTAGCAGATACAGCAACGAGAATAGCATGAAGTGATGTCATTTTTGCAACCAGGCTGAACATTTCATCATAGTAAATCCCATAATATTGACTATATTCTCTCCCTTCACAACCAGACGGGCTTTGAATCTCTAAATAGAGCCATTGACCCTGTACTTTTTTTATATACCAATCTACTAGCCATAATATGCTGCTTATCTAGGGGAGGGCTCCGGTCCTTGGTCTCGCCTTTTTTTTTTCAAGGGCTCTCAGCTTCAATCCAACACTCATGAGTGGCAACTTTAGAATTAGATTTAGGTTCCTTACTTGAATGAATAGCATATATAAAATCTTGATGAGATTTGGAAAAAGAATCATACGAAACAAATCTATCTGTGGAAAATTGACCACGAGAGAAGCGACGAACCTAAGGGGAAATGGGAATGCCTTCCATTTGAGAGGACAACGTGGAAGAGGTAGAAAGTGGGACAGCTACATCTGCAGGACGAGAATGAAACTGCTGCTCTGCTGGGCACATCAATCGGGGTAGGTGTGCATGCGTTTGCTGTAGCAACTGGCTCTGAATACACACCACGTTCTAGAGTAAACCTTTATCGCTTTTGATGCCTTCAATTGAGACACATATGACGGTAATGAGGTCAAAGAGCTATTGTGCCTGGGACAACATGAATTTTTTGTTATTATCAACCCCCTTCATTCGAGTTGTAGGTAGAAGGTTCATCCTCATTCAATGTCACATGTTGAGAGATATACATTTTTCAGGCCCCTTTTTTTTTATTACGTATCGCTTATTCAGCTGCCCGAGGCGGAATGCATCAGGAATATGAACATAGCACTTAAACCCGATTACTCTGAGAAGAGAGCAGTCTGGAACCTTGTTCGATAACAATTCCATTGGAGACTTTCTTTCCAGGAGACGAAACTCTATTTCTCACATACATAGCTGTCATGACTGCTTTAGCCCAAAAGATTTTCCGAAGATTCATGTCAATCATCATTGCCCTGGTCATGTCAAGCAGATGGCGTCCTTTTTGTGACTCGCTGTGGAGTAGATGCACCTTCTATGAACAATCCCTTTCGACTCCAGAAACTAACTTTGCAAACTCTTATTACATTACATGAATGAACCTCCAGAATCTATCTGCAAGATTTGAATCTTCTTCTTATATTGCTTTGAATCAAGTTATGAAACCATTTGAAACATTAAAAAACTGAATATTTTTGAGAGGTGTAGGTCCCTGAGTGGATAACATTAGATAAATAAAGTTTAGGCTTATCTTTTATTGATAACAAACGACATACTAATTTAGCCAGTTCACAGCTGGAACATTTATTCATGACATGGAATGGCTTTGTAGGAACCTTTCCTAAACATTTGATTCAGTCTCTTACTATGTGTATGACCTAATCTCTTATGCCAAAAAAGAGCTGATGTTTGCTCCCAAAAAAGTATGCTGAGAGAGCCTGGCTGCCGATTGAAGACGTTGAAGGAAGATGCTCAAGCTCTAAGAGATACAACCAGCATACTTTTCCACCTTTTTTCATCTTCCCCCAGGACATAAAGATCACGAAAAAATATTCTATTATAAGATTGTTCAATCAATTGTCCAACATACATATAGTAGATTATTGGAGAGTTTGGGAACTACTAAAGCACATAAGAAAGGCTTTTTCATCTTTTCTTGGAAATTTTGACGTAACCAATGGGGCCTGATATAAGAACCATCACCAAGATAAACTCAAGAATTACCATCCAATTCTTGGGAGGAGGAAAAGGTAGTAGGATCTCCTGTCATGTGATTCGAAGCGCCAAAATAAAGAAAGCACTTAGAGTTACTAGATTTAGCAGATGAAAGAAAGAAGTCCTTGACTTTCAAAAAGTGGTTTACCTGGTTGGAGAAAGATTACTCTTAATATTGAGCCCCGACATAATTTGCAGCAGAACGTCATATGGAAGCTGATTTGAGATGCACTTTCATACTTTCCTTGATCTGCTACCGCCGACTTGCTGCAATTTGAAGCATATATATAGATAACTCATGGTTTCAAAGATTGAAGATACAACAATAGGGGGAGTTCTTTATATCCATTCAATCTTTGGACGACCTAACCTATAGATGGATGCTCGTATCACCATACCTACAAAAATAAAGAATTTCATTTGAGCAAAGCGATAAAGAAAGACGATGAGAAATTGCAGGGCTGAGGTTCAAATCATTACCTGAAGCAGCACCATGCATCGGGTCTGCTGTTTCATGTGCATGACAGTTTGATTGTGCAGTTCATTGTACAAATCAACAAGTATTGTGGCGGTAGTTTTCCATAATCAAATAATAAACTCATAAGTCTTGAAAAGGGACAGAAAAGAAGTTCCCCTCAAAAAACAAAGGCATACATTTCATATTAGAATTTTTTGTTTGGTCAATCTTTCAAGTGCTTAACTTGTTCCCAAAGCGACACTCGAGTTCAATCTGTTTACGGTATAAGACCTTAGGATCTTTAGAAAAGCTGATTCGGATTGCTGATT